ATTGAAGAAAAAAAATTTCTTTGTCTTCCTCGTGACAGAATATCACTTCGATTCTTTTTATATCGCGATGTCCCCGAGCTATTGGTATAATAATAGTTGCGCTGATTGTATAATCTCTCGAGCGAGCTATGCGACGCGATGCAATCCGAGCGGGAAGTCGCGGTTTCACGCGTAGCAGCTTTCAAAAGCGATCTTACCAAGATCCTTGCAAAGAGAACATGTCAAACACGCGCGAGAAGAGCGGAAAAAGATATCGCGTTTCTTCATATGGTGGCCATATACGTTGTCAGAAGAAATCGCATATGAGTCTGCACTCTTTCTTTTTTTTTTTCTTTTATTTTGCGTACTAGAACTAAAACTTCAATTTACCTAAAATTTTAACTCTGACATATATAATTTCAGTTAGATAGGAAGATTTCTCGTTTCCATTAAATACATTTCAATTTATATAATTCAAAGAGAACCCGTGAAATTATCGATCCATGCTTCGTCTAATTATTCTCCATTTTGATTAGTTAATTAAAATAAACCGGAAATTAAATTATTATTATTAATTATAATTTTTCTCTCTCTCTGTAATAATAAATAACACTATCATACGTAACTATTCTATCATCCCTTGGAATTTCATTTACTTACAATGATCATCGACCACCCTCTTCGACGATACGCGAACCTTCGACTTCTCGGATGCCGCGTCCGCGACTGAGCTTGCGCGACGCACCACTTTCGCCGTCTGTCGTCGCTCTCGCTTTCGTTCGACTGTTGAGAGAGGGTCGACGACGCGGATGAGACGACGCGTCTGGGTGCGAGTATCGACGGCGAGGAACGGCGGCTGCGACGTCGCGACGCGCAAGCGTCGCTTCCGCCTCCTCGAGTGCGCGCTCTCGTTTTCGGTTTTGCTTCAAGGGGAACGAACCGAGCGGGATGAACAAAATATTCCAGAATGGCGAAAATGTGGACAGATGTTAATTATCGATCTGTGTAGTAGTGTTGCTGACCAGATATATACTAGGGGGCCGTACTTAAATCTTGTACAAAAATTTCTTGAGAATTTTCTCATCTTCCAGATCTTTTTGTTAAAAAATTCCAGACAAAGTATCTTTTTAAAGATTTTTTGGGTGTAATTTTCTAAAAGTTTTTTTATTATATGCGTCTTCTAATGCTTTTTACTCATACAAAGAGAAAATAAAAAGCCTTTTCAGTTTCAAGTGCTAGATTTGAAAATGTACTAAAAAAACTGAGTAGCTTTTGTAAGATAAACATTTTGCACCTACATAACATTTTTATATCATCACTAAAAAAACAACTACAGTAAAAAATATGTACTGTATATTCTATGTAATATAGAACTTAACCAATCGATGGATTGCCGATTGACTATAATATAACAAGAAAATTATCAAAGAGGGGATCGGTTTTTAAAAATTCTCTGAGTTGGAATAAAATTCCATGAAAATTTCTTGATTTTTCCAGATATAAAAAAATATTTGAAAATTCCTCAGGTTCTCCATATTTTTCCAGGGAGTAGACACCCTATATTTTATATTTAAAGTAAGCTTTCTAAGGATGTACGAGAAGACATATAGCTTATGAGACATGGACTTTTGCATTTATTTGCCGAGTTGTATGTGGATAATTGAAGAAGAGCCTATATTTAAATAAATTGAGAGTGAGTTTGCTTTTTCTAATTAGCCTTAGCTCTTTATATATTTAATTAACCAAGATATTTTTTGCGCCTTCTTTAGCACTTGCTAAAATTACTTTTTGCAAAGAACATCCGCAGAGTCAGCTGATATATCAGCAGATTAACCAAATTATATAATGTAAGCAACATAAAGTCGGAAATTACTCGACGGTACCAAAAGCAGTTTAAACACTCTAAAATTACATAGGACATACCACTTCTTTTTAGAATCTGGAATAATATCTTTAATCTTAGCATCTCTAATCTTTATTTTAGCAAAAAATATTGAAAAAGCTTTATGAGATTTTTCGAAGAAATATTAATATCAGTAATTTTATATTTAATATTATTTCATGTCACTCTCGTTTACGATAAGAATTACACTAATTAATTTTTCGCTCTATATATAAAACATATCACATGCTACAATACATACACGATCGAGATGTACAACCGCCTGCGAGAGTTTCCGCTTCCGGTAAGAGAGTCAGCCGACTGGAAGCTCGCGCCTTCCGCTTCCGATGAAATCGAGAGTAAAAGGGAGAATCAGAAAACTGGAGGAGGACGTAGGGCGCCGACGCAAAGATGGGGCAAAAAAAAATTTGCGGGAGAACAGCAGGAGAGACGGGAGAGATGGGTCGGGGAATAAATGCCGGGATCTGCCAACCACCTTTCAGCCACCGGCGGATAAAACCACCGCCCCGATCCGGTCAAGGCGGAAAAGGGGATGTTTTATATGGACCATGATACTCTCCTCATTTTCTCCTCTCTACGAAAGGGAGCGGCTTTCCAGATTCGGCGCGTATTACGGAACCGCGGGAACCGAAAGAGGGTAACGTTTGCTGTGCGGGGGGAGGAAGGGGAGGGAAGGAAAAAGAAGGAAGGGCAAAACTCGTTTTATTTGTTCTTCCAATAGTGCGAGTTCTGCTTTAGGCAGCGGGGTGCAACATCATCGACGAATTCACGGGAAGAGAGGAGGGGTTAACGTCTCGCAATTTTTTCGATGGAAAAAAACATCCGCGAGATGACAACTTTCTTTCTTTTTCTTTCCGTTTCTCGATGCCAGAAAAAGAGAAAAATAGTAGATTTTTTTTTTTTAAATTGACAATCTCGCTGTTTTATTATTACGTATCAAACTCTCTTTTTTTACTCAACTAATCTCAAATTATTTTATAATATAAAATTTAAGATCGAAAAAATATATCGCAATGTCGGTCGCGGTTTCACTATGATTCATGATAAGTATTTTTATGAAATTGTTCTGTAACCGCTAGTTTGGTTAAAAAAGAGTGATACAATTGCGAAATTTTTCCAGAAATAAAGATAGAAACGAGAAATACACATAATAATCCGAGAGCCTCGTAAAAGCAGCGGTGCTCAAACGGCAGCCGCGTTTATCCGAAGTACCTTCGACAGACATGCGAAAAGCACGAAAAGGTGAGAAGAAAGCCAGTTTGTTAAAAGAAGAAAAGAAATGCAGACAAAGAAGCAGAGATCCCCGGCTGTCTCCTCACGCGAATTTAACCCTTGAGTGGTGCAGCAATTCGAGATATAGAATGCGAAAAATGCAATAAACAGAAAAAAAAAATAGTCCATAAAAATAAGGAGTCTATAAAAATAAAAGATTAGAGCAGAAAAGATTCTAAAGCAAATTTTAGAACCGTCAAAGTAAAATCGCGCGGTTTTATAAACAACACACACATATTCTTATCATATCTAGTTTGTAAAATTTTTAAGAAGCAAATTTGTTTATAAAACTTAAAACATTATATTAGTATAAAAATATTTTTTTATATTAAAAAGAGTTGTTCAAAATTTTATTCACGTAACGTTTATTAAATACGCACTATATTTTGATGCGAAAAAATTTATTAAAATTTAATTATAATTATAATTAATAAATTTCATTCCCAAAATAAAATATCAAACATCGATAAAAACTTTATTTTTCATAAATCATATATCAATATATAACAATTCTATATAAATAATTTATCCATTATCCATTGATATATTAAAAATGATTAAGAAATACGCATTCTCTTCTTCAGCAACAAATTTTATTATTTTTTAAAATATAGTTGGAATTATTTATTATCTTTTGAACGTCCAATCGAGGATTAAATCTGCACCGAGAGAAAAATCAAGGGAGCACTTACCTTGCGTGACTACTCCTTCGCAACATTCGCGTTCCGGAAATAACCGGAAGTAGCGTGTCCGCAGTAGTAGCGGGTAATAATTTATATATCCGTCTAATCGAACAAACGATCGCGAAAACGAGCATTGATATCAGCGTGAAACTCGCGTCCACCGTCGCATCGAGCACATTAATTAAAAAACTTAATCGATTTATTAAAGTTTTTTACGGAATTATTAATATATATTTATTACGATAATTAACATTATAAATAACTATCATCGGCAAATAATTTAACTATATCTAACTATATTTTCACAATAATATTACGATATATATTATAATTTTCTATGACGTGAATATTACAAATGATGATAAGAAAATAAAAACGTAGATTCTTATCGCCGAAAGAATACATGAAGAAGAAAAAGAAAATTAATTGTGTTAATCGCGATTAATATCTTATTTTTAAATATAGAATCAATAAATAAACGTATAATAATTTTGTTTTATCATACAATTTAATAATTACACGAACGAATTGTCGTAATAGAGCAGACGATGACGAATGCGATAATTGCAATGGAAATTAATTTCTCACGCAATAACATCGCGAAATTAATGAACGAAGACATCAAATTCTGCGAACCTTGCGCATTATTGCACATATGAGATAATCTCGCAATAATTTCATCATAAATTTCGGAAGCCGGCGCAAAATGCAAAAATGATTTTGTCGCTTATTTTCATGATTTCTTAACTTCCTTGTCAATGGAAAGGAACGATATTTGATGACGCAATAGTTAGATGTAATTTAAATTTATTTTAAATTATATAAAATTTTCGCGCATAAAATATACTTTAAACTTTTAAAGAATAGTCAAAAAATCTAATAAAATTTTGCCAATATCAATAATAGAAAATATGATTAAAAGTTGCGACTTTAAACCACTAAAAATTAATTAAATTTTCGAGAAACCTAAGCCACTCGGTTTTTAAAAATATACACTCGATGACCCAATCATAAAGCAATATCTATCGCGAATTCAGCCAAGTCGAAACAAAGATATTTCCCGTATATATTTCATGCGAGAAATGATAAAAGCGAGATCAAAGGTACTCCGATATTACGGAAGAAAACTAGTACCCAAAGTATAGACAGATGATGAATCCTACCTTAAGATGTAGTTGACGCAGACGACGGAGATCGGCTTCTGTTGCTTGGAACAGTGAATGAGGGTGGCTTGAGTGACAACCCAGGCATAGCCGCCCCGTTTACCGAGGAATCTGTATGCCACAGTCTCGCACTGGCCCTTGCTGAACACTGAAACAGTGAGCAATGATGATGATGAGAGTGCGGTCGTTCCAGGACTCGGGACAAGTGAGCGCATTCGCGCGGCTTTATAGCAGCGTCACGCGCGTTTCGGCTGACGAAAGATGCGGCGTAGGATTGCAAACTCCATCCTCTATCGATCAGCATGGAATTGTTAAGAGCAATGATCAGAACAATCGGAAAATATGAGTCGATTTGTTTTCGCAGGACGAAACTTTGAACTTTATTATAAAAAGACATCGCGTAGATCCAATAAATTATACTTGCAGAGATTATTAAACATTATTTGAAACTCAAACAGAACTAAAATATTATTAAATTAATGTTATAAATAATATATAGAAGTTGCAATCTTATTTGACAAATATTATTTAAATAGAAATATTATTAGAGAATCTAGAATATTATATTTAACTATGAATAATATTCTCATTAATGTATCCTATTTAAAAAAATTATTAATAAATTGATTATTACATAATGAACAAAAAGAAAAGTTAGTTGTTGTGATAGATATATAATCTAAAACACTGTTAACATTCGGTTAAAGTAGAAAAAATAAAAGCGTTTCTAATTTTGCAAGAAGATTAAAGAACACAAAAAAGATATATCAGATATTTTATTGCGGTTTCAAGTCCCAACATAAGATCATTTCGCAAATTCCGCCGCTCAAGGGTAGTTCCTTCGCGAAACGCATTATCTCGTTGCTTCTGGGGAAAACGGAGAAGAGAAAGCGGATGAAAATATATCTTTACGTTCGCGTAAAACGTAACCGGGGCGGGATTAGTGCGATGCTGATTCGGTCGGGAAGCCGAAGTTGGTTGACGTTAAAGAGGGAGAATTCTCGACGTCGCGGATTGCCGGAACACGCAAAGCTCCTAAAGCGGCCAGCTAAATCGTCCTTTACGATCCGTACATCCTCTAGTAACGAGCGACCGACAAATACTCCCGGGAGTATATGCCTATAAAACGTGTACGTGTGCGCGCGTTTCATATATAAAGAGTTATATACAGAGTGTCGCTCTATCAATATTGGATTTATTGATTAAAAAATTTGAAATTTCGATGTTTTATTGGAAAAAAACTTATCTCTGTGTTATTTTTCAATTTCTAATTTCTAATTTAATATTTGAATATATTTTGATTAAATGTCAGATATAATTACTTGTCAAAATAATTATTTTTTAAATTTTAAAAATTTTTTGACGACAATTATAATAATTGTAACATTATTACACTTTTAATGTGTAGCACAATTGCTTAATATATTATAATTCTGCCTTTCTTTGACCTCTTTCTCTCTTTTTTTCTTGACTATATCGAATTGTAAAATAGTTGATAAATATTTTCCGATGTTTTTTATGACTTCGCACTTTGTCACCGTGTTTCATTTTCCATTACATATCTATCTGCAATTTTACGAGTCAATTACCGAAACCGGTGCGATAAAGGTGTCAGACGATCGCGTAATCGCGCACGTGCGCGTATGTATGTGGCCCATAAATAAAACGTGTTTAGTGGGATGCAGCAATTGCATAACTGGTAGCCGATAACGTTAGCCACGTTAACGTCTGGGGTCCTTGGAGACTATAAAAAGGATCTTCTCGTAGCGTAACGCGATAAGAAAGATACGATCGTCCTTGAAACCTTATTCCTCTGCGGTGTCATTCACCCAGGTCGATTCACGTCATATAGTCCGCTTCTCCTCTCTTCCTCCCGTTGCCAAATCCCCTTCCAATGCGCGCTTTTTATGTCTATTCGCTTTTGATGGCTATCACGGATAGCTTCCGTGTTACTCGTGTAGCGACTAACATTTCCAATATTTTGGAAAGGTCAGATAAAATGCGAGTGACGATCCTTATATAAATTATCATTTAACAGTCATTTGGTTTTATATTTCAACTTGTATAACTTACACATAATAAAATTTCTACATAATACAAAGATAAGCCTTTTATAAGAATTTTAGAATCTATTTTAATTGAAAGGTAAAATAAGAAGAGTGATTAACATTTTATTTCACAGAAATATATTATAGCGAAAATGGAAATTTATATGAAGAGAATTTATGATTAATAATTCTAATAAATCGCACAAAAATCAATTTTTCTATCGATTTGAAGGAAAGACATGATCTAAGCATCAAAGATATTCAATGTTTCATAAAGAATTTTATCAAGTTTATCCACGTTTTCAAGTTTTACTAAGTGATTAATAAGTATAAAATTAATTGAAAAAATAATACTTACGGCATTTGAAACACTTGTCCAGTGCCAGATTGTCGAGTGCATGGTAAAACTCGAAAACCGATCGACCCATCAGCTCTTCGCTATCCCAGCCCAGATATTCAGCCAACCTGATCACGACAAAAAAAATATTTCCCATGATACGACGCAAAACAACATTCAATAATAAAAATTTATATTTCACATTTGTTTTCAAAATATTACATATATTTATAACACAACGCGTCATAACGAAATCATACTCGAATCTTATGTACGCGATAAAGCATGGCGCAACTTATCGAATAACGATAAGATTAATGCAGTATTTCGATCAATCTTGTACTAACATTATGCAAGTCTCAATGGCTAATCAAAGTAACAAGTCAAATTGTCATTACTCGAAATGATCTGCGTTTATTGAAAACTGACTATATCAGATTGTAAGAATTTATAGAGGAGCTGAATTTATAGTAGGAACGTCAGAATGTTAATCAGAATAAAAACAAATGAAAACATAAATAAAAGTATAAATGTTTCTACCACTTACTTTTCGTCAGCGTAAGTGAACTTCATGCTGAGACTGTGCTTCGACAGAAAGGTATGGCGTCCCAAAGGTATTTCGATGTTACTGGGATGGGGTATGGGACTTCCTACGAGCACTAGACACGCGCCAGTGTCTTGTTCCGTGAGCTCGTCCTCTTTCTCTCGCTCCTCGTTCTCAACTTCCATAGAGTTCGAGTTCGAGTCACGGATGTCTGTTAGTTTGCCGGTGCAGTGGATCACCTATAAATATTTAACAAAAATGACGAATATATTATGTATTTATTATTCTTTATAGTTGTAAAGTCCAAATTAAACAAGTGCTCGTACTGAATTCCACAAAAATTCATTATTATAAGAATGAATTACAAAAAGACTGCGCGCTTTTTCATATATCTCATTTATATTTTATATTTATAAAAAATATAGAAATTAGTCCTATATATATATATCGTCCATACAATATATATGCATATATACAGTCATATTAGGACTATTAATATGGATAAAAGGCTTACCTTGTAAGAGGCGCTCTTTAAATTGACCTTTCTCCCCTTGTTGGTGAGAGTACACTTGAGTCGCAGGAAGAAGCTGCAGGCACGTTTCTCATCCTTATCTGTCGGTTTTGAGCAGAGGCATTCGCGCAATTCGTCATGATCGCAGGGATGGCTGTATTCGTACACGCTTTGCCCCATCATGTCCATCTGTGCAAAACACAACCCGCAAAAGACATGTGTAGAGATTTGTCGTTCAGCTTTATTCCTAGCAATATTAGATTCTGGCAAAAAGTTAAACGAGCTTGTCATATTAATTACATTCTTGGTACGCTACTATATAACACAACTACAACTGTATATTCTACATATCTAACTTGAGCTTTTTTTCATAAATTTGGCTTCGTTTTAAAGAAGTTAATTAGTACAATGCGTTTCCTATTTCGTATGTTAAAAACTTATAAAAATTATTTCTTTTAACGTGCAATTATTTAATTATTAAAAGCATAAAGATTAAGTAAAAATTACAAAATTATTTACAGCATACAAAAGTTTTATTATTTTTATCATTTTGCGTTATATATTATATATTATGCGTTTTTATAGTTTGCTTCTAATAATTGGGATAATAATGTTTTTTTAGATTTGTCTAACATACTTGCGACACTCCGAGATAATCGCTGACATTCTCCGACAGGTAGACCATATTGCCATCACTAGAGAGTACTAACATAAAGCCGTTGAGAGCTTTCGGAAATAGTTCATCTATCTCTGCGGACGACTCGGATTTTGTCAGCGAAGCTGGAACTTGCATTAACAGAATCGACTATTTAGTCAGTATGATCGTATCTTTCGTTTAATTTCAAAATTTTTAAAAAAATTGCAAAATTCTAGATACTGGATTCTAGATCTGTATCTTGAAAGTATTCGTTCTCGAAAATCCATGATTTGGCGAGTCAAGCAGTTACACGTAATCAATAATATATAAAAAATATAAAAACAAGTCTCTTTTTGAATATCCTAAAGTCCACTATATCTGAATAACGTAAATATCAAGAGGATACCCTTAAAATATATTTTATATTTTAAATGGCGCATTTATTCCGTTTTAATGCCATATTTTCTATAACAGTTTTTACTAATTGCTCTAAATATTTCTATTGTCATACTTTACGATATCACTGCGGTTTTAACTTATCTCAAAATTATATATATATATGAAAATAAAGAATTCACATTTGTGTGTGTGTGAATACACTTTTAAAGTGCATAAGCACTTAAACTAAGCATAAGCTTAGTAGATATCTGAAAATTCTTTTGCGACAAATATCTTTTACAATATATTCTTTTTCACGTCGCTTTCCGATACGACTAATGAGGAGAAATATTCAGATATTCATACTCACTAGAATCCACAACGGACCGGACTTTGAGGTAAGCAATCGCCAACCTCATCACGCTGGCCTTATCTAAATGCGCAGCCTGTTCCGGCTCGACCGGAAGCGCAGCCGCGAGTTCGGCAAAGATGTCGGTCTCCTTGCTACGTCTGCAGCGCGCTGCATCGCGGGATCTCTCCTTCCTCTTTTCGTTATTCCTACAACAAGAAAAATTCCCTTCATGTTTTTAAATGTATTTATCGTCTACGAAGTAAAATTACTTTGTCCGATATCATTTTCACAGTTGCGCGTATAATCAAAAATTTTTAAATATAGTTTATAAATATTAATGGATATCTCAAAAAACAAGTTTAGGAAAAAAAAAAACCGCAAACTATTGAGAAAAAGTATATCTTAAGAAAAAATTATTTTTACTGGTTTCTCGCTAATTTAAAATGAAGGAAGTTTTAAAATTAAACAAAAAATTTTTTCTGAAGATTTAAAAAAAAAGAAATTTTTAATATTTTTATAATTTAAAAAGTTCCATATAAAATACGTTAAGAGAGGTAATTTATATATGTGTGTATGTATGTATATATGTATATATATATTTATAAACAAAGTGTGTATGTGTGTATATACTTTTTTATAAAGTTTATTTGTATTTAATTTTTATTTAATGTAGAATGAATCACAGGTGAACGAGACCCTTCTCTTAATTATCTTCTATTAGATTTCTGTTCGCAAACAGACATCCTGAAGTGCCTCGTGAGCAAGTGCAAAGTGTCACGTCGAGTGTACACTATCACGCACGATAAACGATCTCGTTTCCCGATTCTAGAAGGTCGTCATTGCTTGGCACAGTATTACATGCTCTACGTTGATTAAACGAGAACGTTAATCGTGTACCATAATGCTTTGGTCGTTCAATTCGCGAGTGCAAAACTGCAGTTACTAGGCGCGTATGGGCGTGTATAATATACATTTAGGGGTACATTTAACAATGATAACATTTAGTGCGGTATCAATCAAACTCGAGTTATATCTAGTCTATTAAAAATTCTTTAGAATCTTATTTTTAACAAGAAAAAATGTAATTAATACATAATTTTAAAATAAATGATCTTGATAAATCATACAGATACTTTCTATATTCTATCTTCCATCTCCCCCCTTCTTAATTTAAGTGGATAACAATAGAGACAATTTTCTTGGAACAAAAATGCGAATATCTGAAACAGATAACGTTTCAGATATAAAAAGTCAAGGAGAAAGTCAAGGAAGAGATTGCGCTTGTCGCAAAAAATGTCCAAGTAATTAGTGCTAGCAAGTGCATTCGATTGCTATTGTTGTCGTCACTGCAGCCACATGGTTACTCAAACGGTGCATCCTTTTCGGTCCCCAATCGAGACTGAAAACGTCGGCGTTATCGCGAAGCGAGGCGTTATCACCGCGCTCGGTGAAATCGACCTTTGAACGATATGTCTTTTAAAATCGATATTGTCACGTTTCTTCCCCTTTGCCTTCCTCCCACCGCTGGCGATTTGTTAATCGAAGCCAAACTGCTCCAACGAAACGTCCAACGTGATTAAACAATGCGGAAAATTCTTACGAAAAAACAATACGCTCAATTCTTTTTTTGTTTTAATTCCGAATATAAGATTAATATTATATATTATTATTATATAATATAACAAGAAAGCAATTTGAATAAACTCGAGAAAAAAATTGATTGTAAATTTTACAAGATTAAATTAAATTTAATCATTTTATATAAATCATTAAAATTTTAGATAAAATAAATTAAAAACAAAATTAATTCCCCCAAAATAGTATCTCAAGAAAATGATTAGCACATTAAATTAGCACAAAAAACCATTCATTTATTGTGTTATTCAGCCTGTCGTGACATTTAATCTCGCGAAATAACAAAACGATGAAGATGACAGGCATTACAATGATTGCCGACTTACAAGTAATCCTCGGCAAGCTGCTCGTCCTCTGCATAATCGTAATGCCAATTATCGCTGTAATCGGCGTGCAGGTTCCCGTACAAGCATGGCGGTAGAACGGCGGGGGCACCGTGAGCGTACGAAGTGTCGTAAAGGGGGCAGCGATCGCTCGCCGGGCACCGCAACCACCGTTCCTCGCTGCAGAAATTGAACAGTTCCGGGCAGTCGTCGCGGAGCCAATCGCTTGACCACTTTGGAACATCGCTCTGTCCCAGATCGTTTTGTCCTATTTTACGCAGTCTCGCATCATACGTGAACGGTATATTGTAAAACTGCGGTGGATCAACATATCCCGAATCGCGGAGTCGTGGATCGTCGAATCTCGAAACGTTCCCAGATCCCAGATAGCAAGACCGTGGATCGTTGCAGTCGCGATATGCCAGATTTCCGGTATTGTCTAGATCGCAAGGTAGATGATGATCATTAACAGCAATTGGATCACGGGATCCTAGATCGCATGGTCGTGAATCGCTGGATTCTAGAGCTACACAAGGGCGTAGATTGCAAAAATCTAGATAGCGACAATCATCCTCCTGTCGAGGCTCATCTATCCGTGCGCCCTGACCGTATCTCGGCCTCTTTGAGTAGATCGCGCGATTAATCGCCGTCGAGGGCGGCTTACACGGATCAAAGTACATTGCGAGATCCTCGACGTCGATCGGTCCCGATTGGCAGCTCCTCGGAACGGCCGTGTTCTCCGATTGTGGGGGGTCAGTCAGGTGACCATTGTCATTGCAGAGTAACGTCGCCATCAGATCACCGTTCGCGACATTGCATGTCGTTGACGCGATATTGCATATTGTCGCCGGTACAGCACTGCATGCCACGTTGCAGTTAACATTTGGTGCATACGTGGCGCATCTCGTCGTCGCGCAAGATGTCCCGATATCGTAAACCCGCGGTCTATCATCGGTGCGTGACGTTACATTGGAGGAGGGTGCGGCGCCAATACTGTCGCGCAAGGTATCCATATTGCTGAGAACGATTGCTGGACCATAAGACGGCGGCGGCAACGATGATCCGCGCGATGGAAAATTGATCTCGTCTCGTTTCCTCACGTGACGTTCGTCAAAATCAGCGTCGCAATTCGACACCCTGTCAATCCAGACAGAGTTGCGCGGGTCGTTGCCGAGGATGATGTCTCCTCCCTTTTGTCCCGCTTCTTCTCCTCCACCACCTTCTTCTTCTTCTTTCGCTGCTAAATAATATAAACGCGTGTTCATTGTTCCTGTTTTAGCTAACGTCACCGCTTTTAATTATTAAAATTGAGCTCGTAACTTTGTTTGCTTTTAGAATATTTCTTTTTCTTTTCTTCTTTCTTTTCCTCGCTTTTCTCACTCCTTCTTTATCCTTCTTGGAACTGCTCTATTCGCTCTCGATTCATCGGAATCTTCTCGTCCTAATTATTTAAATCTGAATCGCAATTATTTTTCATTTTTTTTAAATTATCCTCTTTTCTTTATCTCTCTTTATCTCTTTGCTGCCTTTAGAACTAATTTTATTTATCTTCATCAGTTTCCGTTATTTCGTCTTGCTTTTTTTTCTCTTTATCTATTTATTCTCTTTTGTTGAATATCTATCCCATTCGTAATTAGTCTATGATGATACAATCATCAAAAGCTTTATATTTTGATTTTGCTAATTTCGCTGTCAATTATTTTAAATCTGTATCTGCTACTTCTTTTTTCTTTTTTCGTTTCTTGAATAAAACATTTTGAAGTTTACTTGTTTAATTATTTCTGATTTTTTTTCTCAGTTATTCCTCTTATTTTTTTCTCTCAACTTGTACGCTTTTCTTTGTTTCTCCGACAAAAAAAATTTTCCACTAAAAGATTATCTTTATCATCCACTAATTAATCTTCCATTAGTTCATATGACAATGAATTTTCAGTATTCTGATATCGCTCTCAGCTAATTTCTATCTATTATGAAATTTTACCTTTTTTCTCTTTCTCTCTCACTTCAGACTCTTCTTTCTCATTTTTTGTCGCCAAGAGCTTATCTTGATCATGTGTGGTCCACGTGATCGATGTACTGTTGGGAATTTGACGACAGCAAGAGTGGGGATGAGAGGAGAAAGAGAAAAAATACAATTCCAATTGACTTGATGGTAAAACAAGACTCACCTCTTCGATTCTGTTTATTACTTCTACCTGTCTTCTCCTTTCTCCATGCTTTCTTTGTTCTGTAACAATCAAAATCTATCCTCTTCGTATTTGGTCCTTTCGATTTTGTGATAAGAGAAAATTATCACCTACTTTCTTCACTTTTCTTCATTTGTCCTACTCCTTCTTCAATTTTTTCGAACTGTCTCTAATTTCTCCGAAACAAATCACAGAACAAATTTTTTTATTATCTCTTATCTCGCTTTATTTAGCTTTTTTATTATATTTCTCGATCAATCTTCTTTTCCTCTTCATCTTAACAAAGCTAAATCCGAAATCATCAGCGAGGTCAATCGCATGTCATTGATTCGGTTTACCGATTCGTGCTCAAACCAGAGAGCACGATTGTCATTTCCACTTTCTCGCAGCCTTTCTTCAATCCGACTTTTGATTCACCTGAACGGCTCGCGCGATACTAAAGACCGGTAGTAACGCGATGCTGCTACTGCTGAACGTTTAGCTTGATCGTTATCTAGTACATCGATAACGATACTCTATCATCGACGGTACGTACAATAAAATTGCCGGGCACGAGCTTTAGAAGTTTTGGACATATCAATTTTCTTATTTGGGGATATCAATTTCTGATATTGCAGATTCCGATTTTTATAACCTTTTTATGTAAAAAAAATCAAGTGGTAGTTTAATTACCACAAATTTAATAAAGAATAAATATAATTAATTATATAAAGAAAATAAAAGTTATATGTGTATTTATTTTTTCCTTTCACACACACACACACAATTCGATTATCTTATCTACATGCAACTCTCTAATTTATTTGAAATATCGATACATATATGATATCATATCAGATCAGAAAAGACAAATTTTTTATGAATATATCATCATTAAAACAATTATGTTTCATAAAAATATATATAGACAAATTTGTTCCCGGAATAAAGATTATAAATTTTTATATCTAAGATTGAAAAGCAATATCTGTTTTTATGATACAAAATAATTAGTAATATATAATAAATATGATTGCTTACATATGTATCAACAATTGATATTTTTGCAATATAAAAGAATAAAAAAATTTGTCGTAAAAAATTCATGAAAAAATAACTATAGAAACAGAATAAAGGCGATCAAATTTACAGGATATGATAATGATATATTATCCGCAAGAAAAAGCAAAAAAAACAACGCAATTAACATACATTTGCATTATGCAGCACACAGTTCCTTATTGTTGCGATTAAAATCGCGTGAATAAATAATTTATCCGCGCGTGTGCGCCGATTAAAGTTTACAATTATTTTCGGAAAAATAGCAAATTACAAAAAAATCAAAACCATACAATTAGAATCCTTTTTTGATATTCAGCTTATTCTATATACTCTAATTACACATACTAATATAAACTGAAAAAAACTATAAATTTCAAATAAAAAAATAATATTTTTAACACAAATAAATTATAACGTTAAGAGAGCTTATTTTATTTTATCTTTTATAAGCCCAGTAAAATAGGTCACTCGGTGCGTGATCGCGTGTCTAATGACTTTCCGGTAATTTGAATGCCTGGCCATCGGCCGTAATCGCAAGCGTTCCTATCACGGAAGATAACGCGATCCACGACGAGTATCGCGGCTGGAGACAAGAACAAAAGAAACCATTGTACGAATAACAGATCGTGCGGCCGTAATTGTTTAAATATCTAGTCTTTTTTCGCCGTAACGAGCAAGTTACTCGTACGATCTGCAACGATAGGCGCAATCATGAGTAATGCATGTCTTTAAATCGCTCGCGTAAACCTCACATGATGCAATTACAGAATATGTAAATGCTACCGGGATAAAAATTATTGCGTAAACGATCGTCGCGATCGCGCGCGATTGAATTATATACTTGTAACAGATATTTCATAGCATCTTTACGAGTTTTTAATATATAAATATTTCAATTTATTTAATGAAACTTTCATGGATAAGAAATAAATAATATTTTCGGATGTGACATCGATATGCACACAATACTTTGTGCCAATTTGAAAAGAAGGGACTGGAATATTTAAGAAGATACGAAACTCGTTTCGACAGGAAATAATGCGGTTTCTCTGGGCTTTTATAGAATGACGCGTAACGGTTTTTCCAAACTACGATTATCTTCCATCCGAATTCGATAGCACGGCGCGTATTTTTTTTTATCTGGTATTTTTATTTTTGACTAAAAGAAAAACTATCTATTAACGAAATACTATTAAAGAAATACTATCTATTAACATTACGTCTAATGAGTTCCCGACAAAAAATAATGGATTCTATTTATCGAAAAAACAAACTGATAAAATAATTGACAGAAACTCTAATACACATTCGTATTATTCATTTAGTTATTTTGCTTTCGGGATTAACTCGCAATGACTAATATGCACTAATAAAATGATTACAGTTGAAATGACGAATAAATAAAAAAATTCCCAGCGTATAAATAAATACAAAAAAAATTATCTATATATTAAATTTTCTTTCTTCTTGAAATTGTTTATTTTTTATTTTGGTTATAAAACATAATAATCGTGAAACATCTGCTAAATCAAATTCTACATTGTTTATATTGATACTTTCATGAAGTAAACTTGTGTAACAAGTTTTTTACTATTTACTAACTATTATTACTAATTCTTCAACTTTTATCTAGATATTTACTTAGAGATTAAATCCAACAAGTTTTGTAAGTTGTTTATACTTTTAAAGTATGTATATATGATTAATCTGAGAAGAAAATTTTCCAGAAGGCCGCTGTCTGTCGTGAATGCACGCTATGTAATCGTGACAGTGTATATATAGAGTGTTTCACTTTTGGCGCATCATACTTCAACGATAAAGCTGACCAATTATTGAACCACTTTTTCATTAGTGAAAGTGTGAACGAAAATTCTATCATATGCCACTTTTCACAATAATGAAAAATTGTTTATATCTCTGCAAGAGTAAACCAAAAATTGAAATCCCACTGAAGTATATAAACTCCACTTAAGATTAATTGCAGTGATCAACAAGATTAAAAAGTCTCCCTTTATCTTCTCCCGCTAATTACTCGAAAAGTATGACTATCTCCCCATTTTCGTCGAGGAAAGGTCAACCTCTAGAAAATTTATCTTTGACAAATAACGCTGATAAAAGTGGAACGCCCTATAGACACACATACGTGCTAGCGAAATATCTAGCCCGGAGCGGAGAGAGCTCGCTTCCCTCGCTTATCATTTATACAGAGAAATAACTGCCACAGTAGACGCTTTAATTGACATATAATAATCTCTATCTTATATGGATTTCAAACTAAATTCGACAAATTGAAAGATTTAATAAAAAAATTAAACTATTGAGATTTAAATAATTTTTAATTTAAAGAATTTTTTACTCTTCAATATCTTAATTAAACGTCAATTTTGCAATGCAAAAGTCAAATTAAAATTCAACAAAAACTGCATTTCTATTATCTCGATTTACATTGTAAAATTATAAACATATTCTATACGACGTGTCACGAAATATATTCGCGCACCTTGCATAGGTAGAGGGAAAGTCCAAAAGATTGAACCAAAGATTTCGTAAGCCACATATGCAAAAAGAAACTTTCTCTTTCTTTCTTGACTGTATAAAAAATTAATGTTGCAATAATAAAAGATCTGTTTGTGACCTAATTTATGAGCTACGTGACGGAAAGTCCGTGTTAATGGGTCAAATGATGATCACCCTGTGTCGCTATTATTATACTTTTGGGAATTCATCCGCGATAAGCTGACACGTAAATCTCGAGATATTTTCTACCGCTTAAAACGCTCTATCAATACACGCGAACGTGACAATTTTTGCTGATCTTGCCACGACCGTTACAGTTCGCTAATGGTTATCATGTGACCCAGCTCATTATTTCCTCGTAATTTCCGAGCAGAATGGCTATTTTCGCGCGTGTCGCGCGAGAAACGCTTGCGGCTCACGAGGGCGATTCTTCACGTAATAAAAGCTTTCTCGATGGACTGTGTTTTTCTACAAATGTTCCTAAATTGTCCAATATCTTGTAAAACAAATGTTTTCCTTCGTATTTGATAATGCGATGACAAAACCACATGATAAACTAATGACCGGAGATGTTTTCGATGAATTTAATCTGACTTGAAAAAATTGACTCAAAATTAATGATCCAATTGGACGATCAATTTAACCTCATTGATAGTATATTGATTGTTATTGACACAATCATTATCTACACAATGAAAAGTACAGTCCACTCTTAAAAAAGTTAAGGCAAAGGTAATAATCTTAAAAAGGGTAACATGTTTATTTTGAACAATTATTAACTTATAGATAAACTATGTAGATTAAATATAATGTGTTATTTGTGTGTGTGCGTGTACACATACGTCGGTATATGTATAATCAGACTTTTGTATCGACAAAGACATTTGTCATTCTAATTTTGACAATTTAGAACGAATTAGAATAGGCAATTAGGAGCCAGCGCAGTGTATAAGGCGCAATTGATTTTATTAAAGAGAGAAAAACATATATAATAAAATTAGCGAACATTTCGGTCTTTTTTTTTGAGACCATCCTCAGCGCAGACAAAAATAATAAATATCAACCTCTATAGGTTTTAATTTTTGATGTTCTAATTTTGGAGTTTATTTTATTTATATTTTATATTATAGTTAATTAATATATAAAGTAAAAAAATGCATGGCATATGTGTGTAACGCTTGTTTTATAATATCTTAATATATATATAAAAAAGATATAAATCGACGTTAAAATTGGGACTTTAAACTGTTGATACAATCGCAAAAATTTTCCATTCTACACATTCTTACGAAATAGATCAGTGTAGATACGAGTTACGAGTAAGTGTTAGGTCACTCTAGACTTAATTATACGAAAATTAGCGCTGTCATGAACGCAGCTATTCGCGCTATAAAAAAGTTAACTTCTCCTCGAGAACGTTTACGAGCTGTGTCGTCGAGTTGTCAGGCGGATTTTTTATAGTAATAATGATAAAAATAACATGACTGAATTTATATCGCGTAAACAGTCTATAGAATTCTACAAAGCATATTACCAGATAAAAATATTTTTATCTTTCCGCTAAAAAAATAATTGATGTAAATCGTACAAGCAAAAATATAAATATCGGAACAACATTTCGGTTTTGCAATTTCGATCGCACGATCGAAATGTTACCCAATTATTTATATATTTTCTTAAAATAAATTAACAGTGCCTATGCCCTCACTTTATGATACGTTAAGCAGGTTAACAAAATTATTTCTGAGTCATAGAAGGAAATGACAAGAAGTTTTTATCTTTCTACTTGGAAAATATTTGATTTGATCGAAATCGCATAAAAGCGGCATGCTGTTCCGCTATTTATTCTTTGATAAAAAATCAAGTACATGAACAGATTCGGCTATTAACGAAATAGATGATATTCCTGCATTTAGCAAATAAATTTAGAATAGATACGGGATATGTCGAAAAAATTTATATGTTTCTACATTACGTAATAAAATAGCGAATAATGAGAAATATTAAAACATAAATTAATTGATGGAATTGCGCGCAACAATGATAGATGTAGAGGCCGTATTCCGAAATTCATTGTCAATAACACACTGGAAATATGTAATATACATAACGTGAATTATAGATTTCCAGTATTGGCAGTGAGTTTTGGAATACGGCCATAATAAATACGACGCAATCGCGTGCATACCTGATGTAAGCACATGCGAACAAGAAGGAAAAAGAGAAATCGAAGCCGGACTGCCTATAAAAAAAAAAAGTGTTAAATAAAATTAGACATTAAAATAAAAAAAATTAAACATTGAAAAAAAAAGACCGAAACGTTCGCTAATTTTATTATATATGTTTTTCTCTCTTTAATAAAATCAAAACGTTTGAAAAACATTGGCCTGCGTTTGTGGGTTAAAACTATTATATGACATAAAAAACGTTCGCATACCAACAGAAAGTTATGTGAGAAAAAAGGAAAATAGATAGATAGATATGTAGATAAATAGATAGATAGATAGACAAATAGATAAATAGATAGATAGATAGATAGATAGATAGACAGAGAGAGAGAGAGAGAGAGAGAGAAAGAGAGAGCTCTTGATGGTATTATAAACATATATATGGTTATATTCTTTCAGTTTTAAATATATTTATAAAGGAATAAACTATACATTATTCCCCTCCCCCTCTCTCTCTCTCTTTCTCAACTTCAAAACAAACAAAATAACATAAAGAGAACATAGTAAAAATTAGTTAGAAACATAAATAAATTATATTATAAACGGGCAAATATAATACATATACATATATATAAGTAAAATCAAAGATAAAAGAAACAAAATTAATTTTAACCAATTAAATTATTCACAGATCACAATAATTCCACGAAGAATAAAAAATTGTAGCGATTGCATCATAAATAATTTAAGAGCGAACAAAAGTGTGAAAAAATAATATAAATCGAAGATGTTATTGACACATTTGTTTAGAATGTTCTCTCTCTGTTTAAAAGAATTTCAAAACAAAGAAAGAAGAAAAGATTAAAGAGAGAGAAAATGAGAAAGCGGGAGGTTTGATTAAAGTACTCGCGAGAGCGACGAGGACATATGAGGATCACGTGGCGCTAGAGAGAGAGACGGCGATAACAGCCGCGAGGAAGAGCGAGTGAGATAAAGAAAAAGAAAAAGAAGAAAAGAGAAAGAGACAACGCGATGGTCCGACATTAAAGAAGCGGAGCGATTGCGTCAAACACGCCCGTCGTCTCTCTCTCTCTCTCTCTCTCTCTCTCTCTCTCTCTGTCTCTCTTTCTGTCCCGAGCGTCGCCAATTTTATGAGCGGTATTATTATATCGACGGTCATCAAATATTCGAACGACAACACCATCGCGACCGAGGATTCGCGCCGAAATCCATACGGTCGCGATCCAAAAATAAAGACTCACCTCCTCTTCTCCTTGTGCTTCTTCTCCTTCCTATAGGTTTCCATGATGAGCCACGACGAGAGAACGAAGGAAGGGACGTAACACCAGCGCACAAAACCGGGACACTCTCGGTCACTGCCAAGGAACGTATCCGGCGTGCGCGTTTCTCGCGAAAGAAGAAAGCTACGGCTCTTTTTTTTTTTTATCGATCGACGTAAAACTCGTTCGTTCTCACTGCACTCTGCCCTCCGTGGATCACTTTTTCTCTCTCTTTCTCTCTCTGTTTGTCTATCTCGGCGTCGGTATCGGGATCGATGCGCGCGTATCACTTGCTGTTCAACGCGTTGCACCGCGAACCGAAAAACGAACGTCACGTTCCGGCAAGCGCACAGATTCCAATGTATTCATGGTGCCGTGTGCGTGTGTGTCGTCGCGTTATCGTTGATGCTACAGCTTATAGCTACTGACAAACGTGATGGCACTATTATTATGCGATACACTAATGATCTCCGCGACGGTGGATTGAGATAGCGTACTACATACGGTCGCGCGGACAGAATAAAGTACGGAGGGGTGGGAGAGGAGCACGAGCACGATTTGACGTCACGCGGCGTCCGCGAGTAGAGCTTCGCCATCTGACGATGTAGCTGGGAAGCTATCGAGCAGATCAAGGAACGCGCGGCAAGTTCGAATGAAGGAAAGAGTACGAACGCTCCGTTTGTTTTTTATATAGTTTTCTCTATATACTTCCTTTTCTACATTTAAAGTGAAGTATGTATTCGAGCTTTGAAGAACGAAAAAAGAAATATAGTGTGGAAATTGTAACCCTCTAATACGAACAGATAAAATGCCTTCTTGACGCAAGATTGTTAAATCTATTAATAAATTGACATATCGACTATATGTCAGTTTACGGATAGAATATAGAATCGCTTAAATAGTTAATTAAAGATGCTAAAATTTTTTGCGGGAGATGGATTTTCAAGCTGCAATTTTCTACAACTGCATCATATATCGTTGTGGATAAATTTTTAGAGAGAGAATGCATTTTTAATAATGAAGACTATTTTAAAATAAATAAAATTGTTTTAAAAGAATGTGTGTGTGTGTATGTAATTATAAAAAATGATTTATAATTAAAACAATTTGTCTTTTAAGTAATCAATATTAATAATTTTATAATAAATATACATTCTTTATTAATTTTATGATTTTACTGTATACACACACTGAGTGTATTATTTCTATTTTTATAAATATAAGTACTTTTGATTAATAATATTGCAATTCTTGTTATGATTTGTGCAAACATGTGGTGCTTAGAGATTTGACAATTTTTTATTTATTACTTATTCCTGGGAATGCAATTTTTCATAAAAATATAAACATTTACCTAAGATTGATTATTCATTGCTATTATAAAACAAAGGAACGAATGCATAAAGAACAAGTACACTAGGCCTTAAAAAGTCGTAAGGAAGAAAATAGGCGAGAGAATTAATAGAGATCTTTTTAATAACAGACGAACATGAAATCTATGGACAACTTGACTGCACAGTTGTATCCAAATTTACCATGAATCCACTAATTACGCTTTTAAATTTAACCTCTCTAGACTTTGATCTGATAATTTTATGAAATATCAGAAATAACTGATGTACATTGCTTGTCTTTTCTACTTATTCGTTTCGTACATCACTTTTGTTCAGGTTAGAGAGATCTTTCACGTTTTAAGTCTCATTATTTATGCGTTACAAGAACGCGTCTTGCAAATACTACCAACACCACAATATGACAAGGCGTGATATTGTGCCTTCTCAATGAAATAGATATTCATTAAAAGAAGAGAAAGAAGACACCATAGTATCACCTTGAAACAGCAAAGTATATAAAGCATACGTTCAGTTAGTCTTGGTTCGCTCCACTTCTTGCTTTGTTCTCGAAGTGTTCATTCTCTTTTCGGTTGTCGTCTCCAATATTTCGTCCTGACTAGCGACCATTGCTTTCTTCTTCTCTTCATTGGAAGCCGACAACTTCTTGTCTGCTTCTTCGGCCTCCTCTGTCTCGTCATCTAGGTCGTCTGCTGGCGCGCCTTTGCTTTCGTACAGCGCAGGATACTGCAACATACAGTCCTGCATTGTTTCGAATATCTTACGACAGTCAGAGCCCTTCGGATCCGCAGTCGAGTAATGGAAGCAGGAGAAAGCTTCGCGGAACTCTAATCCGCACGGCCCAGTCGGCATACCACCTAGACACGGGCAATTCCAGTTAATCTCACCGTTAGGCAACAGCAGACCGGGACTAGGCTCCGGATCTGGCAAATTGATCTTGCTGGGTACCGCGTGGTCTTCTTTAGACGCGAAAATAATGGTATCTTTGCCCTCCTTGTGAATTAACGGCATGATTAATTTTCGGATGGGACTACTCCGTGGTTATACGTCCTACTGTCGGCAGTGAAAGACAATAAATTCCGCGTAGCTCGGTGTACCGTGTACACGCACGTCTCGTTTTCGTATTTGGTGGCTAAAGTCAGGGAGGCTCGTAGCCGCGTATAAGCGTCAGATGGACAGCGCACCACAAATCTACGCTTTGCAGCGTTAAACTTTAAAATGTCTATTGGACTCTTGGCTCCCTCCTCACCGCAAAACTGCCGAACGGCTTCAAGAATATTTTTCTTCAAGTATACGGGAGTTATCTCCAGATCAGGACAGAATGGATGTTCTCTAAAAACAGAAATAAAAAACAGTTACAGTTTATTACATTTTGATATAGTACGTGAATAAAAGTGCAATTTCTTGATTGTCAGTTTTTTTTTATTATAAACTTATATATATTATAAAATATTTGACGGTTTCTATTCTTGTCAATAAAAAAGAAATAATTTTAGTTCTTTTCAAAGTTAACTTTTCATGACATAAAATTTTTCAAAAGACATTCTCGGTAGAGAGATTTGTACTTTAAGGTTAACTTAAAATTATATTATAATTTCCGAAGTTTTTCTTTCCGAAATTAATAAGGACCGTGCAAATAGAAGAAAATACATAATCAAAACGAAAAGAATATTGAACATTCTTGAAACTGAATCGAAGAGTTCGATGGAAATTCGCGATCCACTTTGCGAATGACAATTATCACATCGTAACTATAATACTTTTTTGGAGAAGCAACGTACAGAGAGAAATCCTTTTCATATAAAGTAGAGTTGCATCATTCACGGAACAGATAATCACCATAGCACTCGTACGACGATAAAGTGTAATTCAAGAATCGCGTGTAGGTTATGTTTCACGGGCTAACCATAATCGCCCATGGTGTATATTATATAATGAATGTATACTAACATAGAAATATCTAAGTAATGCATCTTACACGGAAGCGTTGGCTTGTCACTCGTATCGATCTGGCATCAAACAATATATATATCGCAAAAAATACGCGGTACTTACACACGAAACGCTTACACGGCGGCGTCTGATTCATTTGCCTTCACGTGCCAGTGTGATAGTAGCGCCGGCAATTCAGGGCGCAGTGCTGCCACACAAATATCCGAAAAATCAAAAACCACTTATTGTTAGAATTTCCTGCTCCGAGAAAATTTTACATAAATAAAAGCCCGTTTTCTTTTCAACTGTATTTTCACAAAGTTTCTCTCTTCTTTTTTTCGCGATATATACCTATTTCATTTTAGATGCATAAAATTCGATGTATAACAAGGATAAAGGATCTTAAAATCTCATGTTTGCGGAGATGATTACATGATTATTCCGATACGTCCTGTTTTGTAAATAATAATATAAAAAGAATAAGTAATAAACAAAACTAGAATAAAAAATATTATATTGCGAGGGAAGAATTTAAATATTTTCTATTCTCAATAAAATTTGCAAATTTGGATTTTTTTGTCAAAATATATATACGCACGTACAAGTACATTGGAATAAAAAGAAAAAATAGATCAATCTCAAAGCACACTTGTGCGAATGAATAAATATATTTCCCGACAGAATCACTTGAATCGTAAAAAAAATTGGACTCGTCATTTCCGGAACGTGTAAACCCGGCATTAGTCTGCCCGACGATCGACCACGCGCGAACTGCCGGCGAATGCAATTCAGCCATCGGGAGGGGAGCCCGTCGAGGGTTCCCTAGGAGCTCGGCTTTCAGTCGCAGCTCGGCTGTCTGTGCGCGACGAACACCTGCCTGCGTTGCTCTCCGCACACAAGTACAGGCAAACGTCACATTCTCGCGCGCGCGCGCGCGGGCAGACACGTACACATACATACGCACATACGTCGCGGTGGGACGTGCCCGCACGTCCATACGAGCTAGACGAATCGTACGAACACGCGCGGGGGTGGCACCGGTGAGTTTTCGTGTACGCGTACGCACGTTGTAAGGTGTAACGTATTACGTTCGTAAGAAGAAAGAGACAAGGGGGTGAAAAGGGAAAAAGGGAGAGAGACGATTCTCGAGAAGCCGGAACGAGACCGGGGACCCATGCGTCGAGCGATATAGACGCCGCGTCGCGTTTATACGACGGCGCATACAAATACATACGCGCGAATTACAGGCATACACGGACATACGCGGCCGAGCGAACCGCACGCTACTACGCCCAGTCAGTCGGACGTCGGCTCGGGCCCGACGATACACCCCGACAATACGCTATTGCTATTGCTATTACACACTGACGTTTCCCACGGTTACGCCACGCGGTTTAACGGGGGTCTCCGGCGAGAAGTTGACACGCGGTGGGACTGATTTCGCGAGCGGGGCGGCGGCGGGCGTCGACGGCGACCGGGTTGCGCGATCCGAGCCCTCGAGCAGCTCGTGACAGTGAAGTGAAGCACGCGTGAAAGGCATTCGCGGTTGGAGGAGGAACGAGGAAAGAAAGAGGAAGACGGAAGGAAAGGGAGAAAGAGTGAGAAAGGAGAAAGGTAGGGGAGCGAGGAAGAGGGCTGCAGGACGATGGGTGGTCCTGACAGCGAGCGGTGACAAGAAAGAGGACCGACCGTCCTGGATAAAGCGAGCATTAAACGCCAGGGAGTGATCGGGGCCTCGTATGTAATTGGCACGCTAAAAAGTGCTTTTTGTTCGAAATAAGAAAGAGAAACATGCGATAAAATCTCTTTGCTTACGCGCTGGACTTCTCTTGGAAGCTTTTCCTTGGTGTTGGATATATCCTCTTGGTCCAACCCTTGGCTAAGGCTACCGCGGCGATGAGCTATAATCTTATTCTCCGGCTCGCTCGTGAGTGCATGAATTTAGTCGGGGAGTACCGTCGTGGTCGTCACTGACCACACTCACAAGTTTATATCCCCGTCATCGTCATTGACAGCAAGCGTTACGCTCTCATCGGTAAGGAGAAATTTCTCGAGCACGACGAGATAGTCGCGTGCGCCAACTTGAATCGAGCTTCCTCCTCGTGACGCGCTTCGACGACGGAGCGACGTCGAAACGTTGGCCGAGACGACGGGCAACAGCGAACCTCGCCGTCGCTGACGAAAATCATCGGGAAAGTTCGGCGTGATGAAGGCCTAGCGTTCGACACCGTGGGTCATCGTGGGTCGTCAGCGTCGGGCGTGCAAGAAGGGACGGCGGCGCACCGGCAGAAGCCCGGATAGTAGGAGGAGGAGGAGGAGGCACCCGACAACATGGCCGCCGCCTGCTACGAGAAGGAAGTGGTGGTAGGTGCCGCCGTGCACCATGGACATGGGCACCACCATCATCATCATCACCATCATCATCATCATCACCATCATCACGGCGGCAATGCCGTCGCATCGTCCATCGGCGGGGTGACCGGCCAGACAGTGCTGCCGGCGACGTCTACCGGTCTCGACGATGTCACCGTGGTCGCTGCCGCTGCCGCTGCCTCCTCCGGCAACTCGTCGTCAACTACGGTAAACGTTGTCAATCCGGTGACGACGAGCGCTGCAGCTACGGCAGCTGCGGCCGCGGCCGCTGCCGCCGCTGCCACCGCGACCGCCGCGGCTGCCGCCGTGGCGATCAACAACTACAAGGTGCAGGAGTACAAGGACTACTCGCAACCGCTCCACGTGGATTGTAGCGTCGAATACGAGCTGCCGAGTCAGGCGAAACCGCCGCCCGGCGGCGGCGAACCCCTCCTAATGATCCATCCGTGCTACTATCGACGCGCCGAGCGCGAGAGGAGGAGCCCCTTCGTCAATAATCTGCCGCCGCCGGCGGCACCGACGACGGCGCCCATATCTGCCTCCCGCAGAAGCGGTCGTAGAAGCGGAGCCGCGACGGCATCCGCGACCGCTGCTTCCGGCGGCGTCACCGCCGTTACAGTCGCTACCGCGGCGATCGCGATCGCCGCTGCCTCTTCCTCGACGACGACGACGGTCATACCACCGTCCAATAATAACGTCGTATCCACCAACGTCGTGCCTACCTCGGTCGTGTCGCCGGCGACGTCCATCACGTCGTCCTCGGTTGCCGCGGCAGTGGTAGCCGCCGCGGACTCTGGCAACGGTCTAATATCTACGAGTCACGGCCAGATGTCCGCCGTCACCATGGCGGCTTCGTATCGCGCGGCGCTCAACGTCGCGGCTACGTTATCTCAACAGCAGCCGCAGCAATCTCAGCGGCGGCATCATCCGCAGCAGCAACAGCCGAGTCATCTTCATCATCATCATCACCGGAATCACACGCACGCTCATCATCATCAGCAGCAGCAGCAGCATCATAGCCAGCAGCAACCGCAACAACGGCCCGTGACACCAACGGCTTCCGGTACAGCCGACCTCATCTCCGCCGATGAGAAGGCAGTCATATCAGGTATTTATCAACATTACTTCCGCGCCATGCGCGCCCACAATCATCAACACCGCCAGCAGCAGCAACAGCAGCAGCAACATTGCACCACCGCGGCTCATCAGCTCCATCATCAACCTCACCAAAGCGACCGAAGTTCCTCTTCTTCATCGTCGGTCACCTCCCCGACGTCCGCGTCGATCTCGGGTATCCTACGACAGTCTTATCAGCAAGCGTACAGCAATATCGCGGCTGCGAGCTCGAGCTCGAGCCATCATCGCGTCGGTACATCGGCGGTTGTCCATCATCCTTATAGGCGGCCGTCGGCGACGTTGCTGTCGCGGGCGGCCTCGCATATCGGTCAGCAGGCCTCCTCTTCATCGTCGTCCTCCTCTATCTCCTCCTCATCGTCCATATTCGGTGCTTCCAACGGCGTCGCCGCCGCTGCCGCCGGCGTCTCTAGCGTTTACGCCAGCACGATACACAGGCATCACGCGAGCTCCCTGCACGCTCTTCAAACCGCCTCCGGCTTCTACGAGACGCCGAGCTATCACGCTCTCCTGCCCCAAAGTTAGACGATGGTCAAGTGCGGTTACGCGGTATGTTGGGTCTCTACGCGTAAACAACCTGCAACAATATCAATAGTAATCATGGTTGTGCTATTATGAGTCGTAGCGAGCGCGCGATAGATTCTCGCAAACGGTCTCAAAACTGCTCTCCGATTCTCCCCTTTCTCTGTTATCCCTTATCAGGTGCTCCATGAAAATTCTTAAAATTGATAAAATTCGATGATAAGGGCGAGGGCAAAATCGGAACGCAGTCTCCGAGACTCTACACCGAAAGTCAATGAGGTGGAAACTTTTTTCTTTTTCTTTAGATGACTTTATACGATATCTACATCATCATATAAGCGCTCGTTCGCGGCTCATTATAGTACCGCGGAGAAGACGACAGTGTGTTGTCGAGCGATAGTTTGACATTAAATGCCAAGTTACGCGGGTCGTCTATACCGAGTATATGGCCGATATTTATATTTTTCATGTGTAGATTGTGCATGAACTACCACTTTACGCATAATTCACGTAGACGACAGATAATCGATGTAGACGACGTTCATAATGACGCCTATACTGCGTTGTCCTCTGCTCTTCTTCTCTCTCAAACTGTGTTTAAGAAAACCGATCGTTTAATTTATTGACCGATAATTTATAGTTGTCGTTCTCTATACGATATTACTTTCCCGGATGGGATCGTGCTTACCGAAGGAAGCACGATCAATATCGGAAACAAAGCGATTATCGTTGCTGTTGCAGTTTCGTGTCGTTCTTGTCGACGTTTTTATACGCGCAATTAAAATACGCGAAACTTCATGCGAATAATCTAAATAACAGAATGGCGAAACGAAGAATAGATCTTCTTGATGAAAAATATGCTGCGAAAAAAAAAAAAAAAAGAAATAGCCCTCTCGAGCGTTAAATTTTCGGAGGAATTTCGGTTAAAGACCTAGGGATATAAAGAGTCCTTTCGCGCATAGTCGATAATCTCGAGTAATTTCCGCCCCTCCCCTCTTTCTTTCTTGAACCTAACGCGGGCTATGACTTGTAGACAAACGCCGTCGACCGCGATATACGTCATTTAGCAGAGTCGTTTTTACAAGCAGTCCGTTTTTTTAACACATCCGCCTGCTGAAGATGCTACGCGTCAAACGACACAGTTCGGACAGTTTTATAACACATGGACAGATGCGTAGACATCCAATACTATGGTTCCCAACCGCTCGATCTCTTCCTCACGACAATTTGCAGACGAATATGCCGACGACGACGATCTAAATGGTGGACTTGGGCTTCTTCGTGACGAGGGGTTATATCGGATTATGATCCGGGGGGTATCCAGGTTCTTCGCCTTCTCGGTGTGGAGCCACTTTAATCCGCAGAGAAAACCCGCGTCCTCTCTCTCCTCTCTCTCTCTCTCTCTCTCTCTCGCTCTGTTCCATGCGACTTATCATCTCGATCGTTAAAAGTGCATGCGGGTGGGTCTATAGCGCGCATAGTCGGCATAGGGTACATCTGTCTCCCCGTGCGCATGTATGGGGTGTCCCAAAAGCACATCGAGAGACAGCCGTAATAAATCGATGTTTCCTCCTTTGATATATTACCATTCGTATTTATGAAAAGAATTAACTTTAATGTACACTGCAAAAAAAAAAGTATGTAGAATTGCACGAAAACAATAAGTGTAAAATTACACGATAAATAATGGAAATGTTATACATTTCTATTATTAGACTTATTGTCCAATGTAATTCTGTAATGTTTTTTTGCAGTGTAGCAGGTGTTTTAAAAGTACGGCGAAAGGCCTTGTATCGGCCTTTGTAAGACTCTTATTTGCACGATGTTGGTTAACGGTGTTTTCAAAAAGAAGAAACATTTAATTGCAATTGGCATTAAGTGATATTAAAGGAATTGTTAATTAGAGGAATCAAAAGCGATCGTCAGCGATCCTTTTGTTCTCTATCCATCTATTACGATTAGATCTCTTCTTAAAAAAGATTATCCTCGAACGTTATATTTTTCTCTCGCTAATATTTAACTTTAACTACAAGTCGGGACGACATCTCGAGTTAACATTCCATTAAATCGGAGTCTTCCGAATTTCCGAATGTCCACTTGAAATCGAATTAAACGCGCCTCGGGCGACGCATGTTTGCCAAAGTCCGACTTCACCGTAGTCATCCTTCAACCGTTCCAAGACGAGGGTAACCAACCGTCCTTCTTCATCCGCGCGCCGTCGTTCCTCTCTCGTCCAGTTCGCTCTTTTACTTCGCTCTTTCAGAGCGAACGTTAGCCGCGCTTCGATTCGGGGAAGTCTCGAGTTCGCGTTCGAGACACCCTGTATAATCGCCGTCGCGCCGACACAACGACCGTACGTGCCGCGTTCGTTGTTGACGGTGAAGCGGGTGGCCGGACGGGCACCGAATAAACACACGTCGTGTGTATACGCACGCACACGCACGCACACATATACACGCATACGTAAGCACAGCGTACATATTACATACACATGCGGTGGACTTCACGAACGGGAGGAAGGGGAGGACAGTTGAAATGATCGTCGCTCGTACATACACACACCGTGAGGTTCCATCCACCTGCAATGAGCGCGCGACTTCAGGTAGAGAAAAGAAAAATCCCCGTTTGCTTAGGGCCGCATTAGCATCTACTAACGTTCTCCGGGTCGGCGTTTTCGGGCCCCGCAGTCGGACCCTCGAGAACTCGTGAGATGTCGTTCCCCCTTCGTTTCCCCATTCCCCGCGTTTTCTCTCTCCTCGCATTCGCTCCTCCATTATTCAGTATCTTCCAGAAGAATAGAGGACGTCGTCCGTATTCTTGAAGGATGGACAGCACGTTCGGTTTTCGAGGTTCTCTCCGGTTTCACGGTACTCCATGTGGAACTGTTATGGTATTCGCGGTTCCGTCGCGGGTCCAACGAGACTTCACGGAATCCTCGTTGGTTTTCAAGATGGAGAGTCCTTTCGTACATAGATAAATTTATCCTGTTCTTGAGACACGCGGGAAGAATGATTATAAAACCTCTCGTATATCTTTAAAGAGATCTATATTGATTTTTGATCCCATGGATCCTCGGTTACGCATATCCTCAAAGCCGCAGATCTCTATATTTGCAATAAACCACAAATTTTTAGATTCGATTACATCTAAAAAGGACGTCTCGGATGTCGACGTTTGACCGCAGATACTAGAAGATCAACTAACAATGAGATAGCACGAAAAATAAAGAAATAAACTCTTTTCTCATGTTTCATCAAAATCTTCTCGTATAAATAACACCTCTAATTTTTGTATCAATTTGTGAAATATGCAGATTTATTTAGATATCTGAGTTTTACGGATGCGAATAAGCATCGAGCTTGTGCAACGGTATCTATTTTAATGAGCAAAGATTTGTAAAAGTATGTCGCGCTTTATTACACTCTACTAGGAAAAAAAACACATTTTTTACGCGATTTGAAATTCAGATATCTTTTCGAACGTTCATATAAATCCGAAATTCGGAGGAGGATGATAAAGACATATGATGTAAAAGCCATCGTGAATATAATGGAATAAATCTGACTTCGTGGTGTTCGACGTCGAGACCCGCCTCGCGATCGTTTACCTTCACCGGTAGATTTATTAGTGGCGTGATTCATTCGTCGGGATGATGGCTTTTCGCAGTTCGGTTCATCTGCGACGGACTTGAGGCCCAGGTATAAATTCAGGTCGTTTATTTAGGCCTCGCGGCGCTTTTCTTGTCAGAATCCTCTCTCTCTCTCTCTCTGTCTCTCTCCCTCTGTTCTCCTGGGGGATCTCTTTCTCGATCTCTTTCGAATTCCTCGCCTCCATTATTCAGCGTTTCCAGCCGAGCGACGTCGCCGTTTCGAGAGCGAAAATCGATGCCGCGATGACGCGATCGACGCCGAATGATAAGCATCATTGTACGTTTTGCCAGCGACGTTGCCGTATGATAACGCGACCGATCGTTTCCAATCGACTGATGCGGTTTCACCTCGCCGTAGAAAGCGTTCTTTTCCCGATTTTTCCTTTCCCGTTTCACGATTCTTTTGCAATAAAATTTTAATTTTGATTCCAATGCAAATCATTATTCGACTATGCCATATAAGAATATATCTCTATTTTGATATACTAAAGAGAAAACGCGTAAATTTATCGAGTATAAATTTATATCTAACAATAAGTTATAAAGTTATAGTTCATTGCGTAGTGTGTGTTCATTTGGGGGAAACAAATAGGGAAACATTTATCAACCCCTCCTTGGTCGCGCGCCAGGGTTAATTATTCGAGTTCTGGAATTATCCCTCTTCTCTTTCCCGCGGGAAAGATATAATCCGAGGTTTAATCCTCGACAGAACCGAGTCCTGACGTATAACACGGCGAACTGATGGTGCGGCTCATTTATCGTCCGAAATTCGAGAATTAGTTGCGAAAAACGATCCGGTGTCCCGAAACTTGAAACTGACGATACGTTTCGGGAATACCTGGCAGAAAAATTGAAAATTCACGTCGATCGTCACGTGTAAAGCCGATATAATTAGCGTCGCTCGGTTTGGGGTCAAGTTGAAAGAAGCAAAGGAAGATGTAAGATTTACAATCCCTTTTTCGGAGAGGAACGAGCGCCTTTACGAGGAAGGACAAAATTGTCGCGACGCAATTAACGACGACGAGAGGCGGACGCGATGGAAAAACGACGTTTGCCCGAGATCGAGATATCCGTCCCGCGACGCTTAAAGCAGCAATTAAAAGCTCGTTACTCACCCGTCCTTCTATTAATTATTCGAGCCACTGACCGGGCGTGTCGCGCGAAAGCGGAAACTACAATTGATGATTCGTCCCGAACGTCGAGGACGATCGAACATCACGATGAGGATAAGCTTGCTATCCTTAGTTGCACTATGTCTCATTCTTTGCGCATTTGAAATAAGTATTTGCGCGCAATAAATAATCTGGTTTGGCGAAAATGATAGTTTGAAAAGAATTCAATAATTTGTAATACGATTAATATCTCCGGAATTTTGCTAACGATGAGCTCGTCAAGAGAGAACGATTAAAATGCAATTTTTTAAAGAGATCTAAAGCGAATTGTATTAGAATTATGTATAAATAATTTTCGAGAAAAAAAAACATTTTCTTTTGGGATATATAAACCTGGGATATAGAGAATTTTTGGAAAAAATGGGTTCCTAGGGGAAGGACTACGAGTACTTTATCTTCGAAGAGATCCATGACTGACGCAAGGGATCGACAGCGGGCGGTCGTCTCCTCATTATGACCTAGCGATTCGTCTTTTACTTCGTGAAGGGAACAAAACATTAAAATCGGCACATTTTTCTACTTATCCATCTTTTTTTTTATCTCGAATAATCGTAGAACGATGGGTTAGGTGTTCTTCAGTTAGGTATTCTCAACGGATTAGACGCGCGCTATCGTTGTTTGTCTCGCGCTTAACGCCGTACAGGTTTCCAACGTGAAGACTCTCCAGTGTTCTAAAATCTATCCGTATTCTTAAAGCGCGGCTGCTCGCTAAACGACTTAACACGTGACCGACAATCATCTTAACATCGAGCTCTCCGACGCACCGCGTTTTTTTTTCCGTCGCGTTCGTCGGACAAAGAAATTCACTGATAAGCGAACACTGAAATGTCACTACGGTACAGCTGATACTGTCTAAACGTTTAAGTGCAACAATAGTTATGCTAGTTTAATTTTATCTTTATAATTGTAAAGTTTACAGTAGCAAAATTATTTTATTTTCACTGATAAAGACTTCGTGACGATTAAAAATCTAGTTTTAGTTACATTAAGATGTGAATCTCGATAATTACTTTATTTAATTCCGGAGAAAGATTTTTGTTGATCAAATTGAAGTTTATTTTTGGAAGAAAGGTGAAAGGAAAATATCTTTATGCAATCTTAAAGTAACAACAAGAAGCAAAGACACATCTTACATTTCGTGAATTGTATCTTTCGTACATTGCATTTTTGTCGCTCATGCTATGAGACTTTTGTATTTTGAAGCATTCGTCTGTGAACGTTATCGCTATCAAGATAAGCATCAATCACCCAGCCACGAAAGCGTGCATAAAATTATAATACACAATTCGTATCTCTCTTTTACGATTCAAATTTTTTTTACGGCACTTTCTACAGAATCGAAGTTATTTATGAAAGCAAACGCGCTTTCATTTTAGGCACAAACACGAGTAATTTTTCCCAAATTTTTCGCTTCGATAAATAAGAACAAAACTAATTTATTCTGTTTCATCAATACGCATTTTTTTTTTCCGATTGATTCAAATCTTGTTTCATGATTTTTCACTATTTAAAATCTTTTTATTTATATAAGCAATTTTTTCCTGTGTGAGCTTCCGTAAGCGAATAATTTTATTCATATTCTTCGTAGTATGCTTCGATAAATAAAAACAAAACCAGCTCCGCTTTATTCATACAGAGATCTATATCGCACAATAGCAAACTTTTAATGGACGATTCTGACTATTGTCGGTTATCGTGTATTTATAACAAGATGACTAACGAAATTGATACCGATATGTTGAAATGAAAATTGAAATTGTGTTTGCCGTTTATATCATTTCACGGCATTCTCTACTGTTGTTTATTTATAGAGGCAACTTTTTATCTTTTTAACGCTTTCATGAGACAAGAATATGATGATTGATAACGTCAAGCTTGAAAAAAAGTTTTTTCGACATGAATACGTTAGCTACATGCTTAGAAAATAATGTTCGCATCTCTCTCTTTTCTCTCTCTCTCTCTCTCTCTCTCTCTCATCTGTCGCTAAATGTATGATATGAATGTGGGCCTTTGAATCTGCGGAGATCAGGATCTCGGACTTCTGTTTCCTGCAAGCCCATCCGCCCTCACTCACAGTGACGTAACTACTGACCGTACATCCTCGCATGCACACGTACAATACACGTATACTCCTTTCGAGAAGCAGTACAAGTTCGTTATGAGTAAAAACCTACAATTCTGGAATATTAACGAACATTTCTACGCAGACCGACGTTGATGAACTTGCTAAATTCTGGCACTCGAGCCGCAGAGCGTCCCATCTGCTTCCTCCCCCCCCCCCTTTTCCCACCACACTTTCGTCTCTTTCCGCTAAATCCTTTTTTTGCGGCTCTCTCACGTCGCGGTCGCGGTACAGGAAATGGAAACGGCGGCTGCGTCGCGTCATAGTCATCGTGGTTATTCTACATATCTGTCGCTCTCTCTTTCTCTCTCATTCTTTCTTTCACTGTCCGTCCCCCTTTTTTTCCCCTCACTGTCCCTCGCATCGCAGCTTGCCTTCTCTCTTTCTTCCTCCCTTTCTCTGTCGCTCTTTTCCGTCCCGCGTTCTCGGTGTGGCGCATCTCTAGAAACCCGAGCGACGTCCGAGCCGGCTCGGGTTTCGTCTTTTTTGTCCCGCGCCCGCCCTTTTCAAAGCGCGCGCTCAAGGAGAAACGGACGTAGGGACGAAGAGGAAGGAGGGAGGGGAGGGGTAGCGGGAAGGGAAGACCGTGTTTCGTTCGTTACACGGTAACGATCGATCAACGTGACCGCACGACCGCATCGAGCAAACCGCGACGAGAGAGATAGAGAGAGTACCGGGACCGACCGGGGCTCATTGAGGGGTAAAGGGGGCGCGATCGAGATGGGGATCGGTAGCCGAGGAAGCCCTTCCCTCCCGTGACATGGCACGAATTTTCCAAATTCCAATTGTTAGACAAAAAGTATCTCTCGTTACCCTCGTCCTGATTGTCGATCTTGTGAACGCGAGACTTTGATAAGATATCGTTGCGTATGAATGCGAGATTTGTGTATGAAATCTCGGTTCTTTTTTGTGCTTAGCAAATGAAAGATAGCGTGATATAACCTTTCGATTATATCGCAGTGACATAATGAAATGTTTAATTTGAGGTTCGTGTATTTTTTCGCTCGCGATTCGCGATATTGAAAGCAACAGAATTTTTCGAGACAATACGTGAAACAGCATTTCGAAGCTAGAAAAAATATATTTTGCTCTGTTTTATAAGCTGTAAACTATAAGATATATCGAAGATTTATAAAAATAAACGCGCTCTTGATTTTTCGCAAGATTAAGATCGTTAAGGAACAAAGCATTCATTTTTCAGGCAATATTAGCCTTTGCTATATAATAGTTTTTGGGAAAAAAACACATATAGCTCGGCCGAAAAGGGCGTTTATTTAATCGTCCCGGGCGTATATCTCAAAAAGTCATTAGCACACTCGCGCGTTTCGCAGAAAGAGCCGTAGGATTTAACCGCGTCCGTAATTTCCCTTGTGCCGGGCCGGCTTTTGCCTCGTGAAAAATGTGCGGAATCTTGAAAGAGGATCGACGGGCACAATGGCGCGGAGCCGAGAATGATTCGCGAATCGGTAGCGCCATTGTGAAAGGAAAGGTACGGGAGAACTGCCTAGGAAAGTCTAGGAAAATCTATACTCCCCTTTACGCATACACCCTCGTGCGATCCTATCGATCGAAAATACAGCATTGATTCCCGATTGTTATTTCAGATGCCATCCCCACAGAAAAAACGCTCTGAAAGTCCTAAAAACAGACCGGAAAAAGTTTGAAGAAGCGAAAAAAATAATACCACCAAAAATAAAACTCTCTGAAAAGTGTAAAATAGAGAGTTAAAAAAAAAATATTTCGATAGATATCTTATATATACCGTACACACACAATAATGATGATATATATTAAATTTTAAAAGATATTTCCCTTTGTTTCAATTTTTCGAAATTGTTAGAACTTTTAGTACTATTTCAAAGACGTACTCGAAAGTAATATTTTCTTTGTATTTGTCTTATTTTTTTCGATTGTTAAGAAAAATTTGTGTTCTTTCTTCGGAAAAGAATTTCAAGAAAGAAAGCCGAATTACAGCCGGTGTCACATGTAATTTCCATCGTTACTGCTGTGAACGACGTTTTTCCGTTCTGTCATGATTTTCTGTCTTTAAGTATAGGCGACATTGCATTCCGCTGATGCTGGTCAATTTTTGCCGATCGTCCAGATCGGCGCCTTTATTTTTACGTGCACGAAAAAAAAAAAAAGGAAAAAATTTGCCTCGGCGGCGGCGCGGAATTTCCGGGGGAACGAGCTCGGTTTTATCTATCGCTCGAATTATTGACGGGATGTGAGGGAAGCAGGCCGACGGGATATATACAGGGTGTCCGGAAACCGGAGCCGTGCGAACGCACGCAGATGACGGCAGAAATTACTCCGTAATTATACGCAGTCGAGAAATGTAATGCTTAAAACTAACAAAGTACGACATTTATATCATCGTCATTAGTACTTTTGGAATACAGTATCTTAAGGAAGTCGACATATGTATAATATCAAATAGAAATTTTTTAACCGTTTAAATATTGTGATCTTGATCTTGATATCGATGCATTTCGATATTTCAAAACAACATTTTCTCATTAGACGAAGAGAATCTATTATTAAAAATAAGAGATCGGAGAGATAATAGAAGAGGCATTTTCGCTTGATCTTGATCGCTACTATTGCATTTCGATTCTATCTTTCTCTTTTCAAGAAGTAGTTTTAGTTTCTTCATTTCCCGGCAAAGTCATCTCCTTTCGCGGACGATTCGTTTCGCTAACGCGGAAAAGTCCTACGTTTTCCAAGAAAATATTCACCATATAGATGCAATTTCCGGGACCGGTCGTTTCGACCGCACTATTTTTCGATATTGCCGATATTTGAGGAAGCCGGAGAACGATTTTTTTTTACGCGACCAACCGGCCGATTGCCGCCGGAGTTATTACGACCCTTCGGGACACGGTTCGGTCATGTATACAGGGTGTCCGAGATAGCCATCGCTTTTACTGCAAAATATTTTCTGCCACCGTGCACCGACAGTCTCGACAGCCTAAAGGGTTATATAACAGAATATATACATTTTTTTCAACATTTAAAAGGCTTTCTGGCTTGGAAAGCTTTCCTAGAAAAAAAAAAAAAAAAAAAAAAAAAAAATTCTCTTTCATGAAAATATCAAATCTCACATTCACATCTCAGAGAAGAACCGTTGTGATCTTTTCGTGTCACGAACGGTTTGCATTTACATGTTATTGCCCGAAGTAATAAATTTGAAAGATCGCGTTATATACGCGCGCGCATATACATAATTCCCGGGGAGCCCCCCCCTTTTAGAGACCATTGCCCGTCATGGCTCGGGGCACAACTGCTCGCCCGAGGGTTAAACTTCGACGCTGGGCCGATAGATATATATTTGTATACTGACGGCAGAGGATGGGGGAATTATATCGTGCCTCGTTGAAACCCTCGCCGATATCGTCGTCGTTACGTAACTCCGGTCACGGTATTAGGTAATTAGGAAGCGTCGCGCGCGAGCGCGAAAACATCGTTGTAGTGTTCGAAAGGGCTTCCGGACGCGACGTCGCCGGACTTCGCGGATTGGGGATGAAAAATGAGCGCAGGGAGAGGTTTGTCGTGATGGGAAATCCCCGATTTTGTATCGATCGGCCGCTAATCGTCCGGCGTTCGCCCGATAACGGACGTTCGTCGGCAATCTTGGGACCTCGAGACGTTTAAAAGCGCATAAAGATAGAGATTAAATGTTCCGCCGTTTTTACGTTCGATTTACGTCGAGATCACCGATAAAGATTGCGCCTCGTCAACGTTGCCACTGTGTGGGCTTTCAATATAATCCATATATTTATATTCGATCGTTCCCATATTTTTGTATTAACATGTATTTAATTTTTCATTGTGTTTGTGTAGATGTTAACGATCTTAGAATTTTGGTACATTTGAAAGTAGCGAGTATTATAAAAATTAAACATCAAATTATATTTATATCCGATCCTATCCGTAAATTTGTTCACAGAGCGATTTTGGAATTTCAGAGAACATTTGAAAGACTATATAAACTTGAAACACTTTCCAACATTCCTCTATTTCTATATTTATATAACTAAGTATAGAAACTAAATATATATTTATATAACTTGTCATACTCATGTATTCTCCATCAATCTTTCGGTACTCTTCGTCACAGACGTCGCACCGACATCTTTTGGGCATTCTAAATTTATGAAACCGCTTTTAAATACTTTTTACACGTTCTTTGCGCGCGCTATTTCGGATAAAAGTTACAAGAGATGAATAAAAATGGTCAAAGAGCCTTGAACGTTCTTAACTCGGGTGTCTATACATATATGCGTGACCGACAAACTTAAAAATCAGACTCTCATTCGCACCTGTATTTAGACCTGCTAAACGCAGTTGTCTAATTGCAGAGTCTCGTACACGAAGGTGAGACGATCGTATTTAGCGGTGAATATACGCCAAAAACGCAGACCCTTCAGTCATTATCTGGCCTGACATTTTGCTTTAAAAAACCGGAGGGCTCGTTGAAAGGGGCAAGAAAAAGAAGAGGGAGAAGAAGACGAATTAGGCACGTTAGGGTACTACGGAATTCCGAAGCGCACTAACAATAAGTCGTGCCCCCTCTCCCCCTCTATTTCGTCATACGCCGCCATACTTTACGGTATCTGGATCCTTCTTCCTCCCTCTTTTTTCTCTTTCTCTCGCGGGTAGTAGTGCGCGATGTTAGACGCGTACATAAAATCCGATCGCGTTCTCCGTAGCCGCGAAAGGAAGAAGAGAAACCTCTCTCACACATGAACGGGGAACGCAAGCGCGCGCCATTGTTGTCGGGGGCTGTCTCGCCCGTCGAGTGTCGGGAAGAGCGCGGCGAAGGGAGAGGGGGAAAAAGGGCCTCCACGGGGACCGAGATACGATCGCCTCGAGATTTCCGTGCCCCTTCCGCGCATATCGGGCACCGAAATTACCTCGCGATTTGGGAGATCTCGCTATCGCGGTTAAGACGGAAGGGCGAGAAAGAATAAAGTGGAAATAGCAGAAAGAACGAGACGGGATGATAATAATAGTTTTCGGCTTTTTTTTTTACAAAAGGAGCGCCCGTTGATTATATGTTCTCCTCTCGAGAACGATTGGCCAAAGTGATATAATTCTCGTTTTATTTATATATTTGATCCCGAATGTATCATCCTTTGTCCTTGAGAAGTGGGGCGCTTTAGAATGTCAATAAACGCTTTGTTCGTTCATATTTATATTTTACAACTTGCATATATTTTATAACTGAACGTACCTACAAATCGAAAACCTTTCGCTCGGGGTTAGATTGAAGGCGAAAACGTTTCGTCATAAATTCCCATAAAATGAATGAAAGGGACAAAGAGAGGAAGAGAGAGAGACGGAAAGGGCGAATTTGTTACGCGTTCCCGGTCAAAAACACCGCGCAGCAGGTGAATACAAAGGTAGCGTAATTAACCGCAATCAATGCTAACATATATTGTCGAAAGAAAATAACTGAAATACCAAAACATAAAAAAACAAACGGGAAATTTCGAGATTTTGTTTCTTCAAAACATTTTTTTTTGACAAAACACGCACATACATACACACCAATGTGCCAAAAAGGTGACGCCGCCTCATTGTCAAGTAAGTAACGTTCGCTCTCTTCTTTCGGAACGTTCAAACGAGAGAAACGGGCTCCTTATGTGTTTGCGAACATCCCCCCTCTCTCTCTCTCTTCCTCTTCATATTTAACACATATACACACACGATGCATACATACGCACGCCAGTAACGCATTCGAACGCAAACGGAGATACACACGCCCACATAGTACAGAGTGTCCCGTTTTAATCGATTTACGCGAATATCGTTAGTTATTATTGGAGTTGTAGAGTTGAGGGAAAACTACAATGACACTCGTTTGTAGATAAAGACGTTTCAAATGTTCGAACATATACATATATATATATTTTTTTTTAACAATACTCATCGTACATAGTAAAATGGGACACCCTGTATGTATGCACACACACCGTCCGGAGCGGCACGCACGGGGCTCTTTGTCCGAACGGCGTTTCGAGATCGTTACACGCCGCGCGCGCGATACCGTCGTATAGTTCTCTTTTATCGCCGGTATTACTTCTCGCATTTAGATATTGTATACTGGTACCGCCCGTATATATCCGTTCGCTTCCACAGGCTCTGGCCGCGCATTTATTATTATTACCCCAAACGGTCGGCTCGCCGCACCGACGGAGAGAGAAAAAGAGAGAAAGAGACGGAGGATAGAGAGGGAGGAAGATACCACTATATATTACGGGACACGTTAAACGGCCCTCCCTCGCGTCGTGCCGCGCCATCCACGAGGAATCCTCGCTCGTGAGAGCTCTATTTTGCATGGAGGGATCGGAAGCTCACTTCCCATTGCTCGCCCGTATTGGGGGTGTACAGAGTGTACGAGTTTGCGTACACGCGGGGGACGGCGTGTAAAATTTCTATTTTTTTAATTTAATTTCTCAAATAAAACTTGCATTTATCTGACATCGAAGAATCTCATCTGGCGAGATGCTTGTTGCAATATCCGTGCCGAAAAATGTCCGAATTCAGTTGTGAAAGAAAGACATCAAAGAGAGAAACACGAGAGAAGAAGTTTAAGTATTTACGTTAATCTCACTGTGTGTTAAAATTATCGTTAAAATTAATCAAATATCGGCCTTGTACTATTTGAATTTTGGCGAACTTTCGTTCGAAAGCTACGTCTGTCGAAAAATTAAAATGTAACGGAGGAAAATATCTCGCTTAGAGCGCGTGGAAGGAGCTGGAAAATCTCCACTAAGAGAGAGAGGGGAGGGGGGAGATCAAAATCCCCTTTTCCCTTCGACTAGAAAGTAATGGCGCCACGTAATCGCGACACCCCGTAGACACGCGGAGAGACCCACCAACCGCGCTTGGGCGTTAACCGATGTCAGCGGAACCGGCCCCAAGAGTCCAACGTGCCCAACGTAGGAAAAACCAACGCGTTTCCCTTCGCCCTGCTTCGACCCCCGTCGCCGCCGCCGCCGCCGCCGCCGCGTCCCCCTCTTACTCCGCCCACCGCTTGTGAAAATAATCCACGTTCTGTCCGCCTCGCTTGGATAAAAACCTGGGATTCTCACATCGAGCGGGAGGAGTAGGACGATCCGACTAGGTGGAGAAGGGGGGCAGAGGAGGGGGCGACCGCCTGTTCCCGTTTAGAGACGCGAATGCTCTCGTTTCGTGTCAAATCGCCAAATTTTCGAGACCGCCGTGCTTCCTACCGAACGATCATCGTTCCCCCGATACTTCGCCCCCTCACCACCATCACTACCATTATCATGACCACCCTTCCGTTCCCCATCCATCCATCAGCCGCCTGCTCGCTGTGAACATGGCCGAGCGATAGCGCGCGCGCGCATACCTTATATAGTTCACTACTGTTAACTCGGCCTTAAAAGAAGAAAACAAGTGACGTAAACTGCCTCAAATTATTAACATATATGTATATGTATAGTTTTGTACGGAGTGGCCTGGGATCTCGGGGTCGAGTCGGATCGGGACGCGTTATGATTTCCGCTCATCGAAAGACTTTGTTCGATGAAATACGAATTGCGAGATTGCAAGCATAATAACTTCAAGATAACGGAATAAATTCGCGTTTGTGAAGGCCACGCCGAGCCACCCCGTACATGTATGAGCTAGCGCCCTTAATACTGACTGAGCAAAAAAAGCCTATATCGTGTATAATGTACGTTAAAATAACCCACAGTATGCGTTGCGTATACTCGTCTGAGCGAACAGTGTCTAAGCCTAAGCGCGTGATGACGAATAAGAAGCGACAGATACGCGCTTTTGTATGCGAGAGAATTAGAGGCCGACGAACAGCGGTGGAACAGCGTGACGCGAATTAACATCGAAACATGAATTCGTTAATGTCGAAAAGTAAGATTTAGCACTTGCGCGAGAGAAGAATCTCCGGGCCGCCGAGAAACGTAGATTCTTCTCGGATAGAGCGAGGAGAATCGTGTAATGGGCGATAATTATACCGCTCGCGAGATATAACGTCAAATACAATCTCTGGACAACCTCGTACAACCGCGTTTGCGGTA